GGACAGCTCGGGCACATCCCTGCTGCCTCTGCTTGGCTTTGTGCTGGAGCTCTGGCAGTGAGCACTGCCGGGGGTGAGCACTCCTGGGGCTGCTGGATGCGAGCCCTGCTGGGGCTGGGGGTGTGTGGGAATGTTTAACAAACTGTTGCATTGTGCTGACTTTGTTCCTCTGTTCCACACCAGTGCCATATTTACGGCTTCTTTAGAATGTGATGTCACTCATCTGCACTGGGTAACTTGCATCGATGTCAGCATGTGCTGCAGTGGATTTCCAGCAGTTGCTTTATGAGGGCTCAGGTTTGTGCTGGGAGGGCTAGCTGGTGTTTCAGGGGCTCAGGTTTGTGCTGGGAAGGCTGGCTGGCTTTCCAGAGGCTCAGGTTTGTACTGGGAAGGCTGGCTGGCTTTCCAGGGGCTCAGGTTTGTGCTGGGAAGGCTGGCTGGTGTTTCAGGGGCTCAGGTTTGTGCTGGGAAGGCTGGCTGGCTTTCCAGGGGCACAGCAAACACCGGAGCCGACTCTCCAGGGGAATTGCGCGCTCCTTCTCCACACGCCTTCCTGTCAGTCCTGGTTGCTGTGCCTGGTCCCGTGACTTCCAGAGCAATTCCCACTGACATTTTGTGAGATGTTTTTAGAACAATTTTTGTTTGACTCTACTTATGTAATGGTATTGCCTGCCCAGGATGAAGGTTCGGGACAGCTGCTGGGCACAGCCTGCCCCTGAGCAGAAGGGTATGTTCCTTCTTCCTAGAGGGGAAATTTCTTTAGGTTAAAGTCAGAAGTTGGTATTTAGTTCTGGCACAGTCCAGCATTGTTTTCTGTGCTTTGCAAAACGTTTTTGGAGTGAGGAACCCAGACTATTTTAAAAAAAAATGGAGTGTGGTCTCTGGATGGGCCGCGGGACCCTGGTGATCAGGCTTGCAGCAACTCTGTAACTCACCAACTTCATTGCCCAGGAGGAAATAAAGATAATGGTGTTTGCTTTGAATGGTGTGTGAAGAACACAACTTTGTGTGTGTTAATGCATTGAGGTAGAGGAGGAGAAGCTTGAAATGCACCTTTCCATGTTAAATGTCCAGGGCTGTAAACAGCCATCCCTCACCTGGCCTGATGGGGATGTTGCCTGTCTCCCTCACACTGTGCTTTCATCTGACATATTATTTTTCAATTTTTGTTATAGTTTGGTTTTTCTGATGATAATCCTTTTACTTGAAACACAACTCAAATACAAATGAAACAAAACTCTTCATGTACTCTCAAGTTGGACACCTGATTTCAACAGTGCATGGTCTGGACAGACTGTTGGCAGTGGAGTTGATCAAAAGTTGTGTGTGTGTATGTGAGTAGTTTATACTTCATCCTTTATATTTTGAAATTCTGTTGTTGTAGGATTTCCTATGGTATGGCTGTGCTTTTTGTTTTAAAATGGCATTCTTGGTTGAAACTTTTTTAGAATTGTTGAACTAAGCCCAAGTGTGTCAGTCAGAGTGCTACCTGCAGTGAGGAAGGGAAGTGTGCACCCTGAGCAGCGTGGGGAGCCCAGAGGAAGGGGCAGTGCAGTGTTTGCCAGTTAAGCTGCCATCCTGTGATGGATTAAACATTGCAGCACAGATAATTTTTTGCAGTGAGAAATAAGCAGTTGTCCAGGGCAGGGGATTAAGAGTTTAAGGGGCGGGTGGGGCTCCTCAGCTCTGTGTACAGCTTCACCCTGCTGGAATGGCTCTGGCCACCAGGGCAAACCGTGGGCTCACTCTGTTATACAAACATGGGTTTTTTCCAAAATGCCAGCCAAACTGAGTGTTTAAGGATCTAAAGATACTGCTGCTGTTTCCAAAGGTTTAGAAAGCAAGCAGTGAGGGGGGTTGCCAGAAGACCCTGCTCTGTACCATGTAATTTTTGGTGTCTTGAGAACAAACTGATAACACATTTTACCTTCAGTCATACAAGTCTGCTTCTTCCTCCAAAATCCAAAATTCCCTTCTGCTGGTTATTTTAGTAAGAGAAGCTTTTTAATGCTTTGTCTGAGCTCAGGGCCTATGAAACAAATCCTTTTGTATGGTCCTGCCTATGGACTGCTGTCCCAGAGCCTGAGAGGGAGAACACTGCCAGTGTGTCAGAGCATGTCTGGTGACAAAAGGGTTGGGGGTGATTTGGCTCTTCACATGTGAGGTGGCAGCTCTGCAGCCTTTGCTGGCAGGAGTGGGGCTGACAGGTTCTGACACAGCCAGGTGTGAGTGATACCTGTGCCTGGGGGTGTTATCTGGGATGTTAGACCTGCTAACAGAGCTGGCAGTGCTTCCAGCCCTGCTGAACAGGAAATCACACAGATCCTATTGGGTTGGTGGCCAAGCTTTGGGAAAAGCAGGATAAACAAGACAAATATTTTACTAGGATAATCCCCCTAGAAGGCTGGCTAATTACAAAAGTATTGCAGGACTTCTGGTTGGGGTTTTTACCCTGCCAAACCTGCCAGCAAAGCTTTTCTGCTCAGTTTTGTTTGGCTGATGAGTGGATGTCTGTGCATCCTTGTGGAGCAGCCTTCTGGTGCCTTACAAGGATCTGTCTGGAACTCACTCACCAGGCCTGTATCTGTTCAGATGGCA